CCTGTGGCCCCAGCTACTTGGGAGGCGGAGGCAGGAGACTCGCTTGAGCCCAGGAGTTGGAGGTTGCTGTGAGCTGTAATGCCATGGCACTCTGCCCAGGGGGACAGCTTGAGGCTCTGTCTCAAAAAAAATAAATAAATAAATAAAATTCTCTACTTCTTAACCCTTAACAGATTATTCCTATTTTACAGGTCTTATTGGATGTCACAAGAAATCAGTCTATTGGCATGTGATTGGAATGGGTACCACTCCTGAAGTTCACTCAATATTCCTTGAAGGCCACACATTTCTTGTGAGGAACCATCGCCAGGCCTCCTTAGAGATCTCACCAATAACTTTCCTTACTGCTCAGACACTCTTGCTAGACCTTGGAGAGTTTCTACTGTTTTGCCACATATCTTCCCATGAACATGGTAATATATTGGATCTTAAAAATGAATATTACAAATATTAAGTTCTACTTTCAGTGGAATTTAGCAGACAGTGTACAGGAATATAGTGTATTGTAGAAGGTGGCATAGTGTTACTATGTTAGACCTCAACTGAGATCCCCTAGTTGCTACCTTCCAGAGTAAAAAATGTATTTTAAGTATAAAAGGGCTTTAGTATTAGTAATACTTGTGGATTTTTAGTTAAAGGCCTGTGATAAAGAGAGAAGAGGTGGTTTAGGGATGAATGAGATAGGAAAATGAGGAGGACAGTATGTCATTGATTTCCCAGCCTGATCTCATTAACTGAGCTTCAATACGATGGAGAAAGGGACTGCAGGTTATAGCTGAAGGGAGGTTTTATGAAGAGAGAAATCTAGTGAAAAGGAAAAGATCACTGCCTAAGATGCAATCATAATGGGTCCAATATATCAGTAGTGATGCCCAGAATAGTAAATAGCAAATATAACAGGATATTGTAGCACTAAATATGAGATACAGCCAGAGGCACTCTGTAGATATCTGGGAGAAGATGAAAGACACCTGGGAAACTTAGGGTATGTCAAGATGTGGGACTGGAAGCTGGTCAGCATAGGTCAGGCACCATATGAGGTTTTCAAGGACTGTTTGATCGGGACTTTGGAAAGGGTTCAAAGGCCTGTGTAAACAAGTAGGTACAATGGTATCTATAGTTTCAAACTGCTATTTCATTGGTAGTTACCAGTTTTGAATCATCATTTTATCCCCATTTTTCTTCTTGTGTACTTACTCTGCAAACCCTTAATCTCAGATTAAACGAATAAGCCTCTTTCTCCACTCCTCTATTGTGGCTATTGAGGGCTATCTTAATCAGTTTGTGTTGCTATAACAGAATTGCATAGGCTGGGTAATCTTTAATGGACAGATACTTAATGGCTCACAATTCTGCAGAATAAGAAGTTCAATATCAAGTTTCCAGCATCTGACAAAGATCTTCTTGCTGCAGCATAACATGGTGGAAGGCATCACAATAAAGAACCCACTCCCAGGCTTAGCGCCTGTAGCTCAAGCAGCTAAGGTGCCAGCCATATACACCAGAGCTGGAGGGTTCAAATCCAGCCTGGGCCTGCCAAACAACAATGACAACTACAACCAAAAAATAGCCGGGCATTGCGACAGGCATCTATAGTCCCAGCTACTTAGGAGGCTGAAACAAGAGAATCACTTAAGCCCAGGAGTTGGAGGTTGCTGTTTGCTGTGATGCCACAGCACTCTACCTAGGGTGACAGCTTGAGGCTGTCTCAAAAAAAAAATACCCCACTCCCACAAACTCACTCTCAAGATAATACCATTAGTCCATTCATGAGGATGAAGCCCTCGTGACCTAAACTTTGCTTAAGTGTTCACTTCTCAATACAGTCACAATGGAAGTTAAGTGTCAATGTGTTTTGGAGGAGACAAACATTAAAGCCACAGAAAGGGCTGTTAGATAAAAATTTTAGGGGGATCCTAATCTTTCATGTTCAACAGCACTTCTTTGTTTCTATTCTCTCTGCCTCCTCATTTGCCTTAGAAAGGAGATTTGATGTTGCTAGGGATCCACCATTCCCCCTTATATTAGTGACCTTGTTTGTTTTAGTCCCTGTAGTGATTGAGAAACCTCTTTTACAACCTATTATGTAATATTTATGGGATTTTTGACAATACATGAAAATGTTATATTTTATTGTATCTAAAACAAAAAGTTTAATTTTTAGATGCACACTGAATGATATTCAAGGCCACATGAACCTAAGATAAGTTGTTTGCTGCTCCTAAAATCTACCCTTTTCCCCATAAACAGGTCTACCTGATTGGAAGTATTTGATCTTCAAAGTAGCCCTATGGTGTAACTAGGTCAGGGGGTATTAATATCCATATTTTATAAAGCATAGAGATAGACTAAGAATGTTAAATAGACTTGCCACAGGGTTTATAACTATTCACAGGCAGATATAATCTTAAAATACATATCTTCTTTATTTTAAGTTGTATCTTTTGATATTTTCATAAACTTAGAATGTATCTTAAAATTTATATCTTCACTAACAATTTTCCTGATAAACTGTTATTAAATCAATGATATGTATTATAATCCAATGGAGTAAAAATATAAATCATCAGGTGACTGTGGAATGGGAAGCTGATCTGGCTGAAAGTATGCAGTTCCTCAAGTCTCCTTGTTTATAATTTGGGTGTGAGTTAGTGATAGGCTCAAAGCTAGTTCCAGAAGTGAAATATTCATATGTATTATACGAACAAATAATAAGTTTTGAAAAGGAAGTAAAACATGTGCAGAGGAGAGCCAGGCAAAAGGGTAATGGGTGAGTGCAAAGACCAGAGGAAGAAACTAGCAAGCACAAGATAATACATATAGGAATAAATATATACAGGAAAGCTCCATGAAGGGATGTTGGTGTGGAGAAGGGGGCTCTTATGAGAGAGTATAGAAGGGCTAATAAAAGAGAAAGTCATAGAAGTTAAGGCAGGAAAATCTTGTGGGAGTCCTGACAGTATTTGGTTCATCTGACTCCAGATGGCATGGAAGCTTATGTTAAAGTACATAGCTGCCCAGAAGAACCTCAAATACGGATGAAAAACAATGAAGAAGAGGAAGATTATAATAATGATTTTGATAATGCTGAAATGGATGTGCTCAGGTTTGATGATGACAACTCTCCTTCCTTTATGCAAATTCGCTCAGTTGCTAAGAAGTACCCTAAAATTTGGGTACATTACATTGCTGCACAAGAGGAAGACTGGGACTATGCTCCCTCAGTCCTCACCCCTGATGATAGGTAAGCACCTTTGGACCTTCAGCATTATCTCTTCACCATATTCAAAAGGTTCTTCCTAGTTATTCAAATCAAAAAATCCTTAAACCATGTTTGGGGTTAGGTGTGGAATCAAATGACAAGGATCTTAACATACTTGGAGAGTAACATGGCTAGGCATCAGAGGAGTTCCTATTTTTCTTACTCTTTGCATGGATTAAGTAATATCAGCTATTTTAGAGTTGGATTTGAGCCTATCTAGAATATTCTACTCCAACCTCTCATTTTTTTATCTTTTATACAGAAGTTATAAAAGTCAATATTTGAAAAATGGCCCTCAGCGGATTGGTAGGAAGTATAAAAAAGTTCGATTTATAGCATACACAAATGAAACCTTTAAGACTCGTAAAGCCATTCAGTATGAATCAGGAATACTGGGACCTTTACTTTATGGAGAAGTTGGAGACACACTGTTGGTAAGTTGAGGAAAGATTTAAGGTGAGGTAAGAAGTCTGGAAGATTTTGAGTTTCTAAAAATACTTCATAATTCAGCCTTATTCAGCATAATTCTAAAGGGTGTGATCTTTTAAAAATTATAAATGTTATGCAAATAAATGCTGATTTTACATATATATATTCTTAAAATATGGGTATATAGAATAAAAATTTGATGTCACTTATTAAACTTGTCACTCCTTTGAAATACTTAACTCATTAGACTTTGATACACATCCTTCTAAAACTTTTCCCACTAACTATATAGCATAGGAGTAGCAGACTATGGCTTATGAACCAAATTTGGCTTGTGGCCTGGTTTCAGACAATCTTTGAGTTTAGAAGGGATTTCATGTTTTTAAAGGGTTGCAAAGAAAAGAAAAGGAGAAGGAGGGGGGAGGGACAGAGAAGTGGGAAGAGAATGTGTGAGTTTATTTCTTATACTATTCAGCCCTTTCCAAAAATGTTTGCTGACCCTTGATACAGAATATTAAGAATGCTGAAGCTGAAGTAATAGAATACCTAATGAACAATAGTTTAAATAAATAGTTTCTTTTCTTTTCTTTTTTTGCACTTTTTGGCCAGGGCTGGGTTTGAACCCACCACCTCTGGCATATGGGACCGGCACCCTACTCCTTTGAGCCACAGGTGCTGCTCCTAGTTTATTTTCTTTAAAAGAAATTTGGAGATAGTTGATTGTATCAATTTACCACTAAAGAATGTCATTAAGGACATTTTATATGTGGGGTGTTGTTAGAAACTGCCAAACTCACTTTCAGCAATTCTGAACCAATTTACACCCCCCACCAAAAGTATGTAACTCCCCTTACCCCACACTATTGTCAACAACATATTTTATAAACCTTCAGAAAAATTTTCAATTTGATGAACAAAATATGTATGTTGTCTTCATTTGCATTTCACTGGTAGTAGTAAAACTGTGTATTGTTTCATGTTTCTTAGCTTTTTATATGACTCCTGTGAATTGCCTGCTTATAAATTTTGTTCACTTTTCTATTAGTATGGTATTCTTTTCCTTACACATTTGTAAATAGCTTGTACAGGTTGCTAACACATTCTTATTTATCTTTAAAATATCTTTCTTGCTTTTCACTTGTACTTTAATTCCTATATAATATCTTTTGACATCCGTATGTGGACAAAATGCCTTATCATTTTTTTAAAAATTAATATTCTTTTCTAATTTTTTTAGAGATGAGATCTTGCTATGTTGTCCAGGCTGGTCTCAAACTCCTGGCCTCAAACTATACTCCTGCCCAAGATGTTGGGATTACAGAAATGAGCTACCATGCCTAAAATCTCTTATCTCTTGTCAGTCTTTTCATTTATCTGAGGTTTTTCTCACTTATTATTATTTTTTTTTTTTTGCAGTTTTTGGCCGGGGCTGGGTTTGAACCCACCACCTCCAGCATATGGGCCAGCGCCCTATTCCTTTGAGCCACAGGTGCTGCTCATGTTTTTTTTTTTTTTGCCTAGGAATGTCTTTCTGCTTCCAAGAAGTTATAACAATAGTTTTCTATATTTTTATAGTTTTATTTTTACATTAAACATTTTAATTTCTCTGGAAGTTACTTTTGGGTTTAAAGCATAATATCAAATAGAAACTTGCTCCATTTGAGCAAGTTGAGCAGCCAATTGGCCCAATCAATCTTTCTTCACTAATTTTAAAATGCCTTCTTTATCATATATGAAATTGATCAAATCTTTTTTTGATCTTCAATTCTGTTTAATTGATCTGATCTGTTACCACAACCACAATGTTTTAATGGCCGTAATTTTTTTTTTTTTTTGAGAAAGAGTCTCACTATGTCGCCCTCAGTAGAGTGCTGTTTAATTGATCTGATCTGTTACCACAAGCACGATGTTTTAATGGCTGTAATTTTTTTTTTTTTTTGAGAAAGAGTCTCACTATGTCGCCCTCAGTAGAGTGCTGTACAGCTCACAGCTACCTTAAACTCTTGGGCTTAAGTGATTCTCTTGTCTCAGCCTCCCAAGTAGCTGGGACTATAGGTGCCCGCCACAATGCCTGGCTATTTTTTTGTTGCATTTGTCATTGTTGCCTAGCTAGCCCAGGCCAGGTTCAAACCCACCAGCCTCAGTGTATGTGGCTGGTCCTATAACCACTGTGCTACAGGTGCCAAGCCTAATGGCTATAATGTTTTGATAAGTCCTCCCTCATTGCTTTTTTTCAAAATTTTAATTAGCTACTGTTATACTATTTTTTTCATAGATTTTATTTAGTTATTTATTAAATATTTTTTAAAGATTGTGAGATTTTATTTTTTATTAATTTATTTTAAAGATTTATAATTGTAAAAATATGTACATATTTATGGGATACTTTTGTTTACCTATTTTTGAATTAGCAAGTAAAAATAATTCAAAATACAAAAAAGAATGTATAATAAAAAGCAAATTTTCTTTCCTTCCAGAATCCTAATTCCATAATCTGGCAGGCAATCATTGCTATAGGTTTGTATATCCCTCTCTAAAAAATGTATACATATTCATATACAAATGTGTGTGTCTTTCAAAACAAAAATAGAAGCAGTATGTAATTTGTTCCATACTTTAATTTTAAAAAATGTAACAACACATCTTGGATACCATTTCATATCAACATATATAGATCTACCTTATTCTTTGATTTATGTAAGTTATGCTTTGAACACCTTGGTAAATCAACATTAACTCAAAATGGACCAAAGACAAAAATTTAAGAGATGAAACTATAAAACTCTTAGAAGAAAATATAGGAATAAGTCCTTGTGACCTTGGGTTAAACAATGCTTTCTTAGATATGACACCAAGCAACAAAAGAAAAAACAGATAATTGGGCTTTATCACAATTAAAAATGTTTGTGACATAAAGGATACTAACAGGAAAGTGAAAAGAGGAGGCGAAAATGTTTAGATGCACATTGAATGATATTCAAGGCCACATGAACCTAAGACAAGTTGTTTGCTGCTCCTAAAATCTACCCTTTTCCCCACAAACAATGTTTACAAACCATATATTTGATAAGGATTTAGTATCCAAAATGTATTATATAAAGGACTCTCACAACTAAATAATAAAAAAGCAAATGACCCCACTGAAAAATGAGCAAAAGATTTGTATATGCATTCTGCAAAGATGATATGTATGTAAAATGGCCAATAAACACTTGCAATGCTTTGTTGCTGAACATCAGAGAAATGCAAATTCAAACCACAGTGAGATACTACTTCACATCCACTAGAGTGACTATAACAGTGGTTCTCAACCTTCCTAATGCTGCAATGTATTTTCATTGTTACAAAGGGGTTGTGACCCATAGGTTGAGAACTGCTGGACTATAATGAAGAAGACTGAAATATTGGTAAGGACACGAAGAATTGTAACCCTTATAAATTTCTGGTGAGAAAGCAAAATAGTGATGCCACTTTCAAAAACTGGACATTCACCAATTGCTGAATGGATATACAAAATGTAGCATATCCATATAACTGGAATACTATTCAGTAATCAAAACAAATGAACTACTCATACATGATACAACATGGATAAAATTCAAAAACATCAGGATAAGTTAAAGAAGTCAGGCAATAAAGCCTTACATATTGCATGATTTCACTTATATAAAATATACTTGAGATGCTGAATTACAGAGCAGACAGCTCTTTAGTGATTGCCAGGGTATTGGGGTGGGAGCAGGAATTGACTGAAAACTAATATGAAGAATATTTTTGGAGGCTGGGCACAGTGGCTCACACATGTAATCCTAGCACTCTGGGAGGCAGAGGCAGGTGGATTGCCTAAGATCAGGAATTTGAGACCAGCCTGAGCAATAGCAAGACCCTGTCTCTACTAAAAAAAAAAGAAGAAGAAGAAGTAAGAAAAAGAAAAAAATAATTAAAATTAATACAGCTACACATTAAAAAAAATTATACATCCCTAGGCTTTATCCCAGAGATGCAAAGCTGGTTCAACATATGCAAATCCAAAAATGTAATTCACCACATAAAGAGGAGCAAAAACAAAGACCATGTGATCCTCTTAATAGATGCAGAAAAAGCATTCAACAAAATTCAGCATCCTGTTCTAATAAGAACACTTAAGAATATAAGCATATGGCTCAGAGCCCATAGCTCAGTGGTTAGGGCGCCAGCCACACGCACTGGGGCTGGTGGGTTTGAACCCGGCTCAGGCCTGCTAAACAACAATGACAACAACAACAAAATAGCCAGGTGTTGTGGCAGCACCTGTAGTCCCAGATACTTGGCACGCTGAGGCAAGAGAATCACTTGAGCCCAAGAGTTTGAAGTTGGTGTGAGTTGTGATGCCATGGCACTCTACCAAGGGTGACACAGTGAGACTCTCTCAAAAAAAAGAACATAAGCATAGATGGCACTTTTTTTTTAACAGATAGAGGCCATCTAGGACAAACTCACACCCAACATTATACTGGATGGAGTAAAACTGAAAGCATTTCCACTTAGACCTGAGACCAGACAAGGATATCCACTATTTCCACTACTATTCAAGATAGTGCTGAAAGTCCTAGCCAATGCAATCAAGCAAGAGAAGATTAAGGGCATCAAAATGGAGGTGGAGGAAGTCAAACTTTTACTCTTTGCTGATGGTATGATCTCATGCTTAGAAAATTCCAGGGCTCAACCACAAGACTTCTTGAAGTCATCAAGAAATACAGCAACATCTTAGGATATAAAATCAATGTCCACAAATAAGAAGCCTTTATTTATGCCAACAGTGAAGTTGAATATCAAATAAAAGACATAATACCCTTCACAGTACCTTAAAAGAAAATGAAATAACGGAATGTACCTAACAAAGGATGTGAAGAATCTCTATAAAGAGAACTATGAAACCCTGAGAAAAGAAATAGCAGAAGATGTAAAGAAATGGGAGAACATACCATGCTTTTGAGAGGGAAGAATCAATATCATTAAAATGTCT